AATTCGGGAATTTCTTTGGAAGAGTTATGATATGCAGTGTAGCTTCAAGCGTGCCCGACGGAAGACTGCAGCTGCGAATGAGACCATATTATAAGGTATTCAGCATCCGATGAAGGGTTCATTGCAGAAAGCCAGCAAGATCACAGCTTTGCAAGAAAAATGACCAAACGTTACATAAGGTTTTTACCTCACAGCTTTCAGGATTTGTGAATATAAGGTGTGGGGTGTTATTGTTGGTGTTAACAAGCAACACATTAAACTGCAAAACAAAGTCCATTTTTTAGCAATTCATCTTCAATTCCATCTCCTTATCACACCCAAAGCCTTGTGTGCAGACTGGTACACTAAAGACCACGCAACTGTTGTTACCTTACTCTGGTGTAAGCTGCTGTCTATTAGTTTTATAGGATTGGGAACGGACTGATGTAATCTCTGAGGTTCGGGTCGAGGTCAAAACGCGGCAACAACCCAGAATAACCTCTGCACTAATTTGAATATGCCTTAGGCACCATGACATATTTCGAACATTTACTGCTGCAAATCTTGCTCGTCGTTTTGCTCTCACATGTCGCACACGTTTCGTTGAGCTGCGTGCGCACAGTGATTCGGATGAACCCCTTCACACTACCCACCTGAATTCATCCGTGTGCCTGTTACTATATTAGAAAGATTCACAAGTCCTCGAGCATTTGAAGTCTAAAACTCATTGCACAAAAACAAAACACAACAAATCATTCAAAATAAGCTCCATTGACATCGTTGAGAAACGTACACATATGTCGGTAGTTTCAGCGCCTTTTTTGAAATGTTCTCCTTCTATTCTATTCTAATCCACGAAATTTCTTCCAGATGCATAGCATCAAGTTCCTCTCATGCTCTTACGGTCGAAAATTTTTTGCCTCCTCTGTCTACCCATGAGGACGGAAGTTGAGCGCAAAAGCTTAAGTATAGCACCCAGTTCTCATCCCCATTAGTTATTAGATCATGTTATCCAGGCACCTGGATACATCGAAGAGAAATGGTGGGAAAAGCAAAAGAGCTGGAGCTCTCTGCTTGGTTCTATCTTGAAGCAAACATATCTAGCTACGGCAGTGACCAAAATCGAGGCGGAGTTTTTCGATGGGGCGTAATAAATGGGAATCTCGCGGCTCAAATTCTCTGTGTGTTGGCCTAAATCCGCAGCTCGCATTCTTTGTGTACTGGCTCAACA